TCCTCCTCCTCCTCCCCCTCCCCCTCCTCCTCTTCTTCTTCGTCTTCTTCTGGGTAAACAAATCATTCGGTTTTAAATGTGCCGGGTTGTAAAAAGAAGCTTCCTACTAATAAATTTACAACCAGTATCAAGTTACTCAGCATTGTGTGCCTTGTTCATAGTCGTTTCCTTCCTTATGTCTCAGACATGAGGTCTGCATCGCGTCTGTGCTTGCTATTCTTCTTTCTCAAATTTTGCTAAAGATGCTTTTTCGTGAGAATGTTCCCAATACATTTTCTTTTCATTTCTTACACCATCTTCGCTTCCTTTTTTCCATAAATGTTGACCTTCACGACTTTAACTCTGGATCTTCAGTCCCTTTTTTTCCTTAACTCATTTTGGTCCTGTCTTCCATCTTTTCTCCTTCCCTTTCTTCCTTCCATCCGATGACGTTAATGGAGATAAAGGCCAAGAGAGACAACCAAATGAATCAGGTTTCTTTCCTTAAAGTTGAAAATATTAGCGAACATGACTGAAATGACCTGTCAGCGAAACCTTGGACAATTTGTAAAATATTAAATCGTTGCAAAGCTGTTCAAAATGTACTAAGCTTACAAAGCCACATGTTTCTGTAGAGAAAACAGATAATTAAATACTGTTTCAATGTTTAGTATGCAGTAGTTGTCTAGATTTAATTTTGCTTAGCTTCAAAGCTTATCTGGAGAATGTTTATGCTTAGACATGGACCCTGAATGTTGACGATCACTTTTGTTCTTGTTGTGTAAAGAAACTCATCCCTTCTTCATCAGACAAATCCTAACAATTCAAATGGTAACCTGTTTATAGTAACATTGTATTTGCTTCAGATGTAGACGTCTCTGTTAAGGAACCAATCTTATCTCGGTTTTGTGAGCACATTACCCAATTCGTTACCAGGGCAACGTTATGCAACAACTGGAGAAATGTTAGATAGCCTTATGCCCTACATGTCACTACAGTTAAAGTCACACACTTCAAATGTTGATAGCTGTATGACACAAGAAACGATTCAATGAGGAAAGTTTTCTTTGGAATACTCAAAGTCAAAGAGAACCCCAAAAATTCTGTGGAGTGATGTAGAAAATACGTGTGATGGATTTTGGGAAATATATTGGGGGGTTTTGTACACTTGATTTTAAATTGTCGGACTTCATAAACAACTAGCTCTGGGTTTTGAACCATAATCACTGGTGAAGAATTTGTCTTATCCTGATTCGGGTTTTGTTCTTCGGAAAATAAGAGTCGGGCTTTCGAAACATCGTGGAACAAAATCAGTCGTTCTCCTCTACCTTCGTTCATTGAATACGGAAAGTATCAGTTATGCTGAAATCCAATATCCTACTTGGCTGCAACAAAAAGTTGTTTGCGTCACTTCTTCGAGCTGATAGGCAGCTGCCCTCATTGTGCTATTTGCAAAGGAAGCTTTTTGACAACAGAATGGCTCGTCATGTGCAGATTGTCACAGGCAGATGCCAAGTTTATCACTCTGGTCCTCGGATACAACTGCCGGAATTCACGACCTTAACCAAGTTTTTATTTGAGCAAGCCTCGGGGTACTCACGGCGAACAGCTCTGGTGAGACAGTTAAGCGTTCTGAATGTCTAAGGCTATTCTCGTTGTTTCAAAACTACAAGGAGCCACTAAGTTTCCCTGAAGAGTTTTAATTGTTGATTTCTAGAAAGGCATTGACTCCGGGATTTCCTTTACGCTGTAGAGAATAATATGTAAGACATTTTGTTAAAACGTTTACTTTGCAAAGAGAC